TTTTGCATCAATACTGGAAATATAATCCATTTCCGAATGAACTTTGCAGGGTCAAAGAGCTGTTCACCCAATCAGCATCGTCATTTCACATCACTGGCATCAGCTGCAGCAAAAGTCTCTTCAGTTGACCACGCCGACCCAAGATGTCTAACCTTTTCTCAAGATATTCCTCTCCGCTTTCTATAGATTTTTGTCATTTTAATGCACTGGTAAGCCATGTATTTATCGGTGCAGCCTGTTTTAGATATTAACTAATATCGGCCTAGATTCAAAATGCGATAATGCGGTCGAAGATCGTGTATCTCGAAGCTTACATATTTAATGAAGGTGCGCACCCCTCCCCTCCTCGGACACATCATGTCTTTTGTTGTTCTTAATAAACTTTTGTCTCTCAATCTGTCCTGTGAGTATCAAACTTTCCAAGCTCCTTTTCCTCACTATGTTCCATAAAAATTGTAACTATTTCTTTCTGACATTAAGTAGAAGTATCCTTTTTGTTTCCATTTTCTCTAAAACTTTGTCGTTGCTCACCTCAGAATTTAAACAATTCTATAAAATAGACATATTTAAAAAAAATTTTGAAAATCGGTGATTGGACAAAATAAACGAATTACAGCCGACGTCATTGACATTAAGAAAGAATATAAAAAAAAAACTACTGACACGTTTTCTCTTGCTCTCATCAGAGTACGATCGAGGAATTAAAATACAATGCACAATAACTAAAAGAATATTGGCTTGTGTATGAAAATAAGAAACATATATATCAATAATACATGGTGCGGCTGGTATTTGAGGACAGCTTTTATGGATTATGAAAAAAACTTGCTGAACTGAATATAATTATATTTGATTACAAACAAGCAAACATTAAATTTAGCTAACTATTATTTAATTTTATTCAATAAAACCACCCCTAGTATCAATAACAGCCTCTACACGAGGTCGAAATCGGCTGCAAGCTCTGATTAATTGGTCCTTGTTTATGTCAGACATTTCTCGAACTATTGCAGCTTTAAGAGAGTCTTTGCTGTTTATTAACCTCCTTCTCAACAACGCTCCACACATAATAGCCTAGTGTACTGAGATCTAGAGAGTTAGGAGTACAAATGTTGGGTGTGATGTTGTCGTACAAATGGTCAGCCATCCATTCTTGTGTTCGTAGAGCCTTGTGGGATGGAACCAAGTCTTGCTAGAATATGTAAGGCCTGCCGTTGCATATGTTGTCAACTCATGGCTTGACAACTGTTTTTAGAACCACAATGGGAGCAGCAGCATTTACTCTAAGACCTTGTGGAAAAAAGTGTGGTGGCATAACATGTCCTTCATTGCTAACAACGCCCAATACCATAACACTTGAAGGAAATTTTGCGCATCACTCTTGACTCCTCAGAAGGATGTGAACATAGCTTTCTGTCATTTCTTCTGTTAAGTTTTTGATCTTGATCAAAATTTTTCGCATCTGAGAAAAACCAAATCACACCAGCTTCTGCAGGATTTTGAAGTTTGTTTAAAAGCTTTTTGGATCTGTTTAAATCGTTTCTTCAGACATAAATTGGACTCACTTCATCCCGTAGGACTTGTCTTCATGAACACTCCTTCTGATTGTTTTTTTTTCAGACAAATGCAGCTTTTCGGCAATTGACCCCATTGATTGACCTCGGTTTTCATCAATTGGCTGCCTGACTTCCTAAATAAATTCCGATGTTTTCACTTTATCAGAACGTGCAGAATGTATTTTACGCTTTGATACAGACATTGCGCAACTGTATTCTAACTCTTTTCATAACTTGTGGACAAACGTTCTTGCAACTCTGAGGAAACGTTCAATATCTATATCGCTATGATCAACCTTTAATGTTGATTACTGAAAAATAGCATTAGAAGTTAGTGGGACGTATGTATGTCCTCAAATACCAGCCGCACCCTGTATATTGACACATGTATCTTTTATGTGTTGTATCCCTTCAGGACTTAGGCGATTTTAGCCCTCCAACGCTTGCTTCCTTACTAAGGCTCCCACCACAACCTTCCTCTATCCATTCACACAATCTCATCAGCTAAAAGACTCGCCTGGTGAGGTATAAGTTTTCCAAGCCTACTTTTCTCACTATATGAACAAGTGATTTCAATAGCCCCCCCTCCCTCATTCAGATTATAAATCTTATTTTTATTGCCATTTTTGTTAAGGCTTCTCCGTTGATCACTTGTTCTGTCCATGGAATTCTCATTATTCCTTCTTTAGCTTGTTCTCCTCCATGACAGTGCAAGGCCGAATACAACAAGAATAACACAGGAAAACAATCATGAACTCGGTTGGTATGTTCTACTCCACCTGCCATATTCACTTGACCTTTCTCCAAATACCTTTTTCCGATTTTTGCAAAATGCATTTCCAGGGAATATTTATCCCATTCAAGAGTTTGTCAAAAGTTTTTTTTTACGTCAAAACTTTGGAATTTTACTCAAAGTGTATCGAATTGTTACTTTGTAAGCCACAAGTCATTTCACATTTGGGGGAATTTGAAACTGAAGAAAAACTAATGGTATTTTATTTGAAGAATAAAGTAGATATGCAAAAGAAAAAAAGGAAAGTATTTAGTCACAATTAAGTTCTGTGTAGTGTGATATCTAGAAAAGATGAAGTGTTGTCTGACTCATAAATGTAAAATCTGTTGTGGCTTCGACGTTATTAGGCTTGTGGATGTATTAATAGAGAATTATCTATGTATCTATAATAAGAATTCTATGGCAAAATATTTTTTGAAAGGACCTGTTTCTAGAAAAAAAAAAGATAATGGTATTGTGTTAGACATCATTTCTTAACTTTAGCTTGCTTAACTCTACTCTATACCGAACGTCTTCGGCACTAACACGTACGCACACAAACATACATACATATATATATATATATATATATATATATATATATATATATATATATATTGAGAGAGAGAGAGAGAGAGAGAAAGAAAGAAAGAAAGAAAGTAAGGAATGGATTTTTTTATTTAATAATCCGACAGATGTTTATTACTTAAATCTTATTTTTAGTGGATACTTGTATTTGAATAGACGCCCTGCTTATGTATTAAACAGTATATTTATTTATTTTCGTTTACCGGCTTGACTATTCGAGAAATTTTACGAGAGAGAAATATGCGCTCTCCAGCAGGATTTGAACTTACGTTCCTCTGGGGGAAAACTGTCATTAGATCTGATGTCTCGGCTACGGAGTGTGTCGATGAACAAGCAAAGTTGGATAGTGCCTTTCAACACAGATTTTTCTCTAACTTTTACAATAGACATATCTGCTCTGCTTTGTATCCTAGCATAAACAAAAGAATTTGTAAAAAAAAGGGGGGGATACTTTTCTGAAAGACTTTTATTACTTAAACGTTATTTTTTAATGGATACTCGTATTTGAGTAGACGCTCCGTTTATTTCTTAAACATTATGTTTCTGTATTTTCGTCTACCGGCCTTAATATCCGAGAAATCTCATTAGAGAAAAACATGCACTCTCCTGCAAGATTCGAGACTTAAGGGAAACTGCCATTAAATCTGACGTGCTTTGACCTCTCGGCTACAGAGTGCGGCGATGACTACACAAATCTTAATAGTTCTTCCTCGAATGTTTTTAATGACAGCAATAGTAGCATATCCAGACAGAAGATATGGAATGTGTTTGATACTGCAAATCTGTAGTCTGGTTGTTACGGTTTTCTGATAAGGCATTCTTCCAAGAGGAAGGCCTCTTATAGCCTGTACGAAGCAGTGCGCTTATAGTTCTACAGAAGCCATTTCTCAGAGACAATCTCTTAGCGACTGCTATGTTGGGGGAAGTCGCACTGTCTGACAATCGATTGTGAATAGTGATAGGCTAGCAATATTTCGTCTTTGGGAAAGGTGTTGCACGGTTGAAAATATTTCGTCGCCCGCAAGACTGCGTCAAGGTTGGACAGTGAGAATTCGTCAGTTCGAGCTGAGTTATGACTTCAATGCTCCATTTTTTTTTTAAATATGATATCAACATGGCAGAATGTGTTATGTATTTTCAGAGTTAGGTATTTTCTTTTCAGACAGATCGAATATACGAATTCTACATCGTAAATATATGATTAAGAAGTGAACAGAATTTTGCGACACTCAAAAATTCCCGGTACATTTGAATCTAAAACGTATAAACATTTCTTTCCGTGACTGACAAAGGCTTACGAGAATTGAACAATGAAAATAAACCCACACACGCGCGATTGCTGCAGACTTTGATGGATTATAATTAATTTTGAAGGCGCGCATGCATTTTAAAATCGTGAATGATGCTATTAGTTTCTGTAGATTTTTCTTTCCTTCGAGCGTCTTGGAATTTCTAACATTTGACATCTTTGGCACTAATGTCTGCTTAAGCTTTTTAGAAGCAGACAGCACTTTGCTGTGCGTTTTCTGAAGACGTTTTGTTGAGAGACGCTCGGTAAAAGTTAATTAGTTAATTGCGAAATAAGTTGATGAATGTCTCCGGAGCATAAAGGAAAAAGAGGGGATTATTTTAGCTGAAATGATTGGACATTAGAGAGAGAGTGAGAGAGAGAGAGGAAGGAAAGATTAGAAAATGTACGGAACTGAGATAAAGGTGAATGCAGAGGGTTAAAAAAAAGAATGAAAGAATGAAAGTGACGTGATTTAATTTAAGAAAGAAAGAAAGAAAGAAAGAAAGAAAGGTAATAAGTTAATATAATGGAAAGAAAGAAAGAAAGAAAGAAAGAAAGGTAATAAGTTAATATAATGGAAAGAAAGAAAGAAAGAAAGAAAGAAAGGTAATAAGTTAATATAATGGAAAGAAAGAAAGAAAGAAAGAAAGAAAGAAAGAAAGGTAATAAGTTAATATAATGGAAAGAAAGAAAGAAAGAAAGAAAGAAAGAAAGAAAGAAAGAAAGAAAAAAGAGGAAAGGAGGGAATGAAAATGAAAGAGAAAACAAGAAAGAAATCAGCAGTTACAACTAACTAACTAAATAAAGAAAGCAAGAAAGAAAGAAAGATTGAAAGCAAAATGAGGCGAGGAAAGGAGGGAGTGGGAATGAAAGAGAAAACAAGAAAGAAAGTAACAGTTACAAAGAAAGAAAGAAAGAAAGAAAGAAAGAAAATTTGGAAACAAAAAGAGGCAAGGAAAGGAAGGAATGAGAATGAAAGAGAAAACAAGAAACGAAAGTAAGTTACAACGAAATAATGAAAGAAAGAAAGAAAAGAAAGAAAAGAAAGAAAGAAAGAATGAAAGAAAATAATGCTTAGCTAGAAATCAAACAGAAACGTAATAAAATATTAATAGAAAGGAAAAAGAAAGAACAGCAAAGGATGAAGGAAGGAAGAAAAAAGGAAGAAAAAAGTAGTTAATAAAAGAGAGAGGAGAAAGAAAGAAAAATAGGAAACGAAAAGAGGCCAGAGAAAAAAAAGGGAAAACAAGAAAGAAAGCAACAGTTACAAAGAAAGAAAGAAAGAAAGAAAGAAAGAAAGAAAGAAAGAAAGAAAGAAAAGGTGCACTTAAAAGAGAGAAAGAAGGGTTGAACCTAAAGGAAAGAAAGAAAGAAAGAAAGAAAAAAATAAAAAAAAATAAAGACAGTGAGAAAATAATAAAGAAAAATAATGCAAAACTGGAAACAAAAAGAGACGTGATAAGATGTTAATAAAAAGAAAAAAGAAAGAACGGAAGAAAGGAAGGAGAAAAGTTAATAAAAAGGAAAGAAAGAGAGAAAAAAGAAAGAAAGAAAAATGAAGCAAGAAAAGGAGACAACGAAAAAAAGAATCAATAAAAAAATGAAAAATAAATAACGAATGAAAAATGATGCATAGCTGAGATAAAAAGTAGTGTGATAAGACGTTAATAAAAAAGAAAAGAAGAAGAAAGGAAGATGAATAAGTTAATAAAACGGAAAGAAAAAGAGAAAGAAAGAAACAAAAAAGAGGCGAGAAAAAGAGCCAATAAGAATGAAAGAGAAAATAAGAAAGAAAGTAACAGTTACAGAGATAGAAAGAAAGAAGGTGGGTAATCGGTAACAAAAAAAAATGGAGCTAGAACAGATGTGAGTAAAGAAGATAAAACGTGCAAGAAGGAAAGGTAGAAAAGAAAAATGTAATGAAATAGATAAATTATGTTTCTTTCGGTCACTATTATAATTATTATTATCACCGTCTTAAAAACATCTTCATCAAGTCTGCACAGGATAATCTCTCCACCTTGAAGCACACGTCCCAGAGGAATTCGACGTTTCAGTCCTCTTATAGCCAAAACCATTTGTCGCAGAACCTAAGTGCTACTTCCTGTTAAGTGTCCAAACTATTTTGTTTCTGCGACACGTCATTACCACACAAACACATTATATATATATATATATATATATATATATATATATATATATATATATATATAATGTCTTTTCTCTCTATTGTTTTTCGTAGATACATTCTCAGCGGACAATGGCTTTTAATAACTTTAAATTCTTGCGACTTAAGGAAAAATCGTCTTAAATCATTAATATTTCTCTAAGGATTACGTGATAAAAATGATGTACTTTCTTGCATAAGTGGATTTTATTCTTTGTGAAAAAAGAAAACAAATATAAAATGATTTCTAATCAAAACGATTCATTATTTTATTAAACAAAATTAAAAGAAAAAAAGTTAAAAGAAAATGTTCTCCATAAACAGAAGAATTAAAACCGTTTAAAAATTCAAGTGTTTCAGCGTCTGAATAATCTCCATGGTACAGTTATTATTATATTGTTCACGTTCAGAGCTAACACTCGTGCTATGTCAATAACTCTCGTTGACTTTAACAAATAACTATTTCAATACTTGCGTTTTCAATTCATCATTCTTTCACGATGGGATACAGGAGAATTCTTGGTCTATATTAATGGTAATAGTAGTCTTCACGGGATAATCTCTCCATCTTGAAGCACACATCCCAGAGGAATTCGACGTTTGAGTCCTCTTACAATCTTATAGCCATTAACCGTTTTCTTATGTGGATACATTCGACATTTTTCTCAAAATATTTTATCAGAAAAATAGATTTCTGAAGTCTACACTCTCCAGTGTTGATGGAGGCTTTCTTCCGAACTATTTTTTATAGTGTGAAACGTCAACATCTTGTTTATGTAATTATGTTCTCTTTGAGTTAAATATCGTAACATATTTCGCCAGTTTTAGCTGTTGCTGTTTCGAAAGTCCTCAAGAGATTTGGTTTCTACTATTTGGTACAGTTCTTTGTGATTCTGTTGTGCCAGTTTGTGGGTTTCGAAGAAAGATGGTCTTTTGTAAGACTTGCAAGTTTCATTCATTCGAAGCTATTTTTAATTCTTGATCTGAGAAAGCAATTCCGATTCGTTGAGATTTTCGATATTTCTGAAAGAGAATACAATAGTCTGCATGTGTGTTGTAGAGTAGTTTTCACTGTGGAGGCTTTTATTTCAATAAGTCGTCCTAAAGGTTCGACGTACAAAACTTTAGCAACTTGGAAATAAGAGTTAATGACGCAGCAATCTAGTTGTGATGGTTGGTACTTCAATGTCCGATATCGACTGACTCGCTCAACACCACCGAGCCCAACTGGCGACCGCTACTACTACTACTACTACTTATTATGTGTGGGAGAGTCTATTAATAATAGAATAGGTACGTCAGGTATAACAATATGAAAGTCTCACATTATGAAATGGACAAAGTCCGACAATATTTTAACACATTTTTATGTTTAACATTATTTTTATAGATACAAATATTTAAGTAAATGCTCTGTTTATAATAAACAGTTTTAAACATTTACCGGCCTGAATGTCCGAGAAATTTTCACAGAAAATATTCGTCCTCCGACAGGATTCGAACCTGTATCCCAAACGGAAGCGTCATTTATCTTGAAGTGCCTTTACCGATTTGGCCACAAAGGAGCGTTCGGTTAGCAAGGTCGAATTTAGTGTATTTAAACTTCAATCTTCCATGAATCTCTCACGTACATTCATGTCTGCTCATGGCCAAATCGGTAAAGCCACGTCAAGCTAAATGACGGTTCCATATAAGATACAGTTTCGAATCCTGTCGGAGGACGAATATTTTCTGTAAAAATTTCTCGGACATTCAGCGCGGTAAATGTTGTTTAAATTTGTTGAATTAATTTTGCAAAGATATAGGCCATACATAGACAGATATAATCATACAACAGAAAGAGAGTAAGATAGATAGATAGATAGATAGATAATGAAGAGACTGAGATAGATAGATAGATAATGAAGAGATTGAGATAGATAAATAGATAGATAGATAGATATGAAAAATAAATATGGAATAGGCCCATAGATAGATAGATAATGAAGAGATTGAGATAAATAGATCGATAGATATGAAAAATAAATATGGAATAGGCCCATAGATAGATAGATAATGAAGAGATTGAGATAGATAGATAAATAGATAGATAGATATGAAAAACAAATATGGAATAGGCCCATAGATAGATAGATAGATAGATAGATAGTGTACTTGTATAATATAATTACGAATATATAATCAAACAAAAATTACTCAAACCTGCATTGGCTTATTTATCACTCTTTCTCGCAAAACCCTAAGCGCCCTCTTGCTGAATCCTGGTTGAGAAGCACTCAACTCGACAAACATGATTCGCGTTAAGCACCTCAATGCTTGATTTTTTTTTCTTGAACTGCATCTTTATAGATAATTTGATTTGCATTTTCTTTCAGGAGATACGTATCTCACATTTTTACAGCATTGGCAAGAGAAAGGGAAAATTGAAATAGACCGACTATACATCAATCGTAAGAGATTCGCGGTGCATTATACTTTTAATGCATATTTCTTTGCGAAAAATTCAATTAGTTTATTAATTAAACCGACAAGTCAAAATAACGATCAAGATTACGTTGTTTAAGTTGGATTCCCGTCTAGGTTCGTAATTTCTTTTTCTGTTTTTTTTTTTTTTTTGTCGTCGTTTGTCTATGCAATCTTTTTGCTTTTTGTTTTCTTGTAGATTTTATACGCTTTGTTTTTCCTTTTAGCATTTTATATTATAAAAATAGGATAGATAAAATAATGTCAATCCATTTTTCTTCATACGATATGTTGTAACTTAGGGAAGCTTACTGAATAGAATAATCACACGAAGTTTAGTAATGAACGATAATACTTAGGACAAGAACAACACATATAAGATTCGCCAGCAGCGCGTAGAAGAAGTAGCCAACTGTTAGAAGTGATTCAAGTGAATTCCACAATGAATCTCCAACTGCAAGATATCTACCAACAGCTCCACCCGGTCAGATATGTGGTATCCGAGCACATAGGTTCGACCAAAAATACAAAAATGAAACGGAGTCGGGTAGATGTTTCCCGAGACGAGATTCTGCCCTTGGATATAGCTTCGTCTGGGAATCCGCTTTGCCCGGAGGCAGAGAGTTTGACCAGCACAGCTGGAGATGAATCTCCAACTGCAGACCAACATACAGTATTTACTACTGTATTTCTGTGAATGGGGTTATATCCATTATCGTCTGTAGGTATGCACGATAAAAATTTAAAAAATGTCAATTCTAGAAAGGGCTCTTAAAAATAACTCCTTAAAATTAATAAGTGGAAATATAATATTGATTCATTTGCTAGATCTGATGCTAGAAAAGTTGATCCTCTCCGTCAGACATTTTTTCTCGCCATAATCTATCTTACATTTTTATATGTCTATCATTCGTCCTTGCTGCTCTTCCTGCTAGTGATTGCTGCACATATGGTCTGCTGTTCTTTTAGAGATTATCGATAAGATCCAAAGAAGAATCTGCAATGTTACTGTTACTGACCTGGCATCTAGATTTCAGTTATTTTTCCCGCCGACGTAATGTAGCTTCCCTCTGCCTTTTCAATAAATATTTTCATAGTACTTAGGATAATCTTTTCTCTTTGGTTGCTAGATTTTATGAATTTAAGCGCAGTAATAAATTGACGGCAAGGTCTTATCAATTTCCAGTTGAAATGACTAGATGTAACCGCAAGTTCTATGCTAACAGTTTCTTCTATCGCACTCATCCTTTTTGGAACGCTCTTCCAGTTTCTTGCTTCCCTGTCACGTTTGATGTATCAAAAATTTAAATGCAATGTCAATCGTTATCTTCTGTCTTTTTCATTCCTTTTCTTTTAGTATTCCCTGTCCTTAATAGCGTTTTTTTTTCTCCATATTCTCTAACACCCTATTTACATTATTCGGACTATTGTCCTCATCTTTGTCGCCATATTTGTAATAAATATTGCGACAAAGATGAAAACAATAGTCCGAAAAATTTAAATAGTGTACATAATACCTCATCTCAGAAATATAGACAGATACTGAAAGACCGAAACGTTGTGATAAATATGGCAACAAAGATGAGGACAATAGTCCGAATAATTTAAATAGTGTACATAATACCTCATCTCAGAAATATAGACAGATACTGAAAGGCCGAAACGTTGTAATAAATATGGTGACAAAGATGAGGACAATAGTCCGAATAATGTAAATAGTGTACATAATACCTCATCTCAGAAATATAGACAGATACTGAAGGGCCGAAACGTTGTAATAAATATGGTGACAAAGATGAGGACAATAGTCCGAATAATTTAAATAGTGTACATAATACCTCATCTCAGAAATATAGACAGATACTAAAAGGCCGAAACTTTGTAATAAATTTGGCGACGAAGATGAGGACAATAGTCCGAATAATGTAAATAGTGTACATAATACCTCATCTCAGAAATATAGACAGATACTTATTAACCCCTTGTGTATTAATTGCTTTGTTACCTTTGTTAGGGTGAAATGATTATTTTTATTAAAATAATTCCCGATTCTCTCATATTATCATGTTTTTATTTGTTGACTTAATATTTTAGTCGTTTAGTTTTCAACCGTTATCACTCAAAATTAACAAAATATACAGAAAAGACGCGGCCTCTAACTTTGTCACTTATTATATTTGATGTGTCTTCCTTCCCCTCGGGATACATTTTCCTACATGTTGCCTAATCGAATCCTAAGCTCGGCTTAGTAATAATAATGGCTGACTACTCGTTTCCGAATACAGCTGTCTATTCGAGCGGCTAGATAATCTCTGGCGCGGACACTTGCTCAGGCATATTTGCTTGTTAGCAACAAATTGTATTTTCTCTTTAGAATCCAACCGTGGAAAGAAAAAAATACCTAGCTGTTACGTGACATACGGCAGCGAATGTTGGACGATTTCTCAAAGATGAAGAAGAGACTCGAGGGGATAGAATGTGGTTCTACAGAAGGATGCTAAGGATATCATGGGCCGAGCGTGTGAACAACAATAAGATCTCAGAGAAGATGCAAACAAGGAGGAGACTTTTACTTAACATCTGGAAGAGGCAGATGAAGTTTCTGGGACACATAATGAGAAAGAAGTGCCTGGAGAATATGATACCCACGAGTCGAATAGAGGGAAAGAGAGACAAGGGAAAACACGTGACATACCTGACGGACTTAAGCAAGTTGATGACAGAACGTGGTCTGGGGGATGAGGCACTGGGAAGGAACTTGTTGAGAGCTGCAAGGGATAGGAGAAGGTGGAAAGCCATGATCGTCTACGTCCTGAAAGGACATGACACATAGAAAGAAAAAGAAGCTTCTATGAGATAACATAAACTAACTTTCCAACCATCAGATTCTGAATTCGAATACTCGACTTGGCCGATTTGTCTGGGAGATGACTGCATGTTATCGATTGGGTTGTGGAGGACTGGAAAACCATAGTATGGGTTGACCCAAGCATCCTGAGTAAAACTTAGTAGGCTGAATGTTGGTGGAGACATAAAGTTACAAGCCCCCTGTGTCTGAGTCTTTGAGCGTACGGGGATTGGGTGCCGCCCTTGCAGACAGGTACGGTCGCAAAACGAAAAACCCGTTTGTTTTTGTGTGTGCGTGAGGGGAATACATTTAAATTTAGTTATCTATGTATCAATATAGGTATTCAACTGCAATTTGTCTATTTATTTACTTGGCGACTATATGTTGTTAAAGTTATAATAATAATAATAATAATTATTATTATTATTATTATTATTATTATTATTATTTTCTTTGATTTCTGGCGTTTACACGTTTCTTTCCGGGTCCCGCCCAGGGACCTAAGGTTAGAAATGGCGTCATGACACTTTCCACTGACAAACAAAAAAAAAAAAATTACATAGATAAAGCCCTTCGTAAAGTGTGGGCTGTACTTGTCAGAACAATTTTTTGTATCTCCTTCAGGCATGGACTTCCAGGAATCCCTTCAATTAGTCTACTGCAATCTTTTCCAACCAGTCCTTGGGCTCCAACTACAACAGGAATTGTTGATGTTCCCATATGCCACATTTTCGAGATTTCTATTTCAAGTTCCTTGTATTTTGACAACTTTTTGAATATCTTCAAAAGATACATTGCAGTCAGCAGGGACTGTCATATCAATAAGGAGGCACACATTTTTGTTTGTGGTCTTTAATAACAATATCTGGGCGGTTGGCCTTGATTGTTCTGTCAGTGTGTATTGTGTAGTCCCATAGAATTGTAACAGGTCCTATCTCCGTAACCGGGTCTGGGTGGTGTTCATACCAGTTACTTTCGTAGAAGTTGCAGATTTTCTAGTGCAGATATTGGCCCACTCTGTCATGTCGGGTTTTATATTCAGTGGGTGCCAATATCGTGCAACCTGATACAAAATTATTTTTATTATTATTATTATTATTATTATTATTATTATTATTAAGTTGCTATAGTTATTATTATGACGATTTTATTTAAAATAATAATTAAAATATAAATAATATATAAAATAGAAGAAATAATATATTAATGTGTATAATATCTATATCGGTAAGCAAGCTGCATTTTCAAACATTGACATATACTCCAAAATATAACGGGCCACTTTGACCTCTATCTATTTCTATATGCATTTGTATATAAATAACGTTCATAAATATATATATATATATATATATATATATATATATATATATATATATATATATATATATATATATATATATTTATATATATATATATATATATATATATATATATATATATATATGGGTGTGTATAAATATCTATAAGATTATATATAAAAATATATATTCAACTTATATATTCAGAACAACTAGTAGTATATATATATATATATATATATATATATATATATATATATATATATATATATATAAAATTTTGATACTATAGGCAAACATCAAAAACCCTTCTCTGCTGAGATCACAAACGAATTCTTCATGATATCTATTAACAACCTGTCAGTTCCAGATTATTTCATCTTTTTTTCGTCATTTTTTTTCTGCTTCCAATTCTTTGCAGTGAACGTAGAAATGCAATTTTCAAGCCTGGCTCTTAACCGTAATATTTTTTTTTTTTTTCGAGTCAATACCAATTTTTACTTTTTTTTTAAAACATACTCCGCCAAAATTGATTCCCATTTTAGCATCCATTCTTTCCCAGTCTCCAACCTCGCAAAAAAACAAAAAAACAAAAAATAGAAACAACAGATGGATCATTATTTTTCCACTTTACAACCCCCCCACGCCCCTAAACACCCAAGAAGCCAATGACAAGCATTTCGACTCCTACCTGACAGATGTCCTCAATCGATACTTGATTTAATAAGTTTATCGTTCATCTCCGTTTTTCCAACACTTGGAGACCGTCGGTGAGCGATCATTGCCGCCGAAGATTTAAATTAGCGTGGAAAGCCTGTTATTTTCGGGGAGAGTTTATTCCTAACTCACTGCTTATGAATACAGAAATCTCTGTGCGGGCTTTTGCTACGTTCCTTGATGTCCATAAGCTAACGACGTTTGGATATATGACCATCTTACATCAAATATACCTGCGTGAACGCGCACACATATACACTCACATATACTTAAACAAATACATACAAAAATTTAACAGATTTTGCTAAGACTCCAAGCAGCAATTCGCACCTCTACATATGTCAATATCAATCTCTGTCAATATATATGCAAATATATATGGATTTCTCCATACGTTTGCATACATCTATGCATGTGTATAAGCACACATATGAAATGTATATGTTTAAATATTTATGTGCGTATGTGTGTATAAAAATTTGTATAGAGATATATGAATATAGTAAATATGGATGTCAGTAGGATAGATAAAAATATCCGATCAAAAATTGAGTTAATGCGACAAAGCTAATCAGACTACGCATTTAGCCTCTTTATAGTAGGCGTCTTCAGATCGGAATGATTACTGAATGGGCTATTTACTTCAGTCAAAAAATATGTAAATTCTGACACGACAGTTATTATCATGAGTCTGTGTGTAGCATATATATATATATATATATATATATATATATATATATATATATATATATATATATATATATATATAGTATAATTGGTGTATACGGAATGAATTCCAATAACCAACAATTACTATTCTTAAAAGAGTGCTCAATACAGATATAATTATTTATTTTTTAAAAATTATAACATAAATATGTTATAAAATCACTACAAAAATAGCCATTTTGTTTCAACACCACCGGTGTCTTATCAAGTGATGATGTTGAATATATATATAAAAATACATTTTTATGTTTATACATTCTTTTTATAGATACAAATATTTAAGTAAATGCTCTGTTTTATAATAAACTGTATTAATAACATTTACCGGCCTGAATGTACGAGAAATTTTCATAGGAAATATGCGCCCTCCGACATGAATCGAACTTGTATCCTATACGGAACCGTCATTTAGCCTGACATGCCTTGACCGATCGAGCCGTATAGGATAAAAGAATGTAAAGTAAAGCGATGATGCCACTAAGATGCAAGAGGTTACTGGGAGTGGAAGAGAATGAGGAGAAAGAATAATTAAAAGCAGGCTTCAGAAACACAGATGGCGATTGATTTTGTATTTAATAGGATTTTCGGTAGCAGGGAAGCAATTTTATTTATTTATTTTGTTTTACAGCATATCAACCTGAATGGATTATTTAGTCACGACAAGATTTTTTTAGGATAGGTTCGTATGAATAGAATATATATTCTTTGTTAGAAATCATTTTGTAGATTAGGATTCATTGACGTGTTTTTGTAAAGGTTTTTGTCGAGAGTCAAATGTATTTCTGGTAATATTTTTTTTTTCTTTTTTCAAAAATGTATTGCTGGTATTTTTTTTTTCAAAAATATATTGCTGGTATTATTTTATTCAAACAGGTATTGTTAGTATTTTTACTATAAAAATCTATTTTTATACTTTCATAGTGTTTTCCCAGGTTTGGGTTGTTAACTATTTGCCCATACCTGGGATCCTAGCAGGTGTTACCAGCCGGGATCAGGGTGAACCTGAGAACAGCAGCAATTAAGAGGTAGTCCTACATTTCTCAAAACCACCCGATCAGAGAACTTACTGCCGGATATAGTTTATCGTCATACCCAGGACATGCAGGGAATCAATAAATCGAAAGAGAATTTCACAAGCGAGAGAAAGAACTATTCAGGTAGAACTTACGGTCACATCTAGCTATTTTAATAGTAAACCGATGAGACAGATTTGCTAATCTAGTAGTATGCTTAAATCCATGACGTCGGGATACGAAGGAGGTGAGCCTATTAGAAAAAATGCCCCAAAATATTTCTGGAAAAGACAGAGGGAAGCCACGTTTCGGTGATGGGAAAGCGAACGATATTGTGATGCCAGGTCGGGACCGATAAAATTACAGACACTTCTTGGGATTTTGTCGAGAATCTCGAGTTATATAGCCCGAGAAACAGAAAAATGTCGTTTAGGAAATTAAAAAACACGAAAGAAATTTCCACAGTTGAGAAGTGCGGGAAAAGAAACTATCAGAATAAAACCTACGGTTTCATCTAGCGAGTTCAACAGTAAAACAATCATTCCTAGTCTGTCTATATTTCTGAGATGAGGTATTATGTACAGTATTTACATTAGTCGGACTATTGTCCTCATCTTTGTCGCCATATTTGTCACAACGTTTCGGCCGTTGTACGCTCCGGCCTTCTTCAGGTAGTTGGAATTTCAAACTGAACCCTTTATTTCGATCTAACCAACTCCTTTATCCACTGTTCTGGGTTCACGTGCCATGTTTGATGGATGTCATGGTTATCAGTGGATAAAGGCTGGTTAGATCCTGACAGTTCCCAAAGAAGGTGATTGAACTCACCTTCCTTGGTTAAGGCAGGGAGATCAGAGGGAAAAATTAGCAGGAGATAACTGATAACTGACATCCATCAAACATGTCACATGGAACTAGAACAGTCTACCCCAGTGATCGAAATAAAGGGTTCAGTTCGAAATTCCAACCACCTGAAGAAGGCCGGAGCATACAACGGCCGAAACGTTGTGACAAATATGGCGACAAAGATGAGGACAATAGTCCGATTAATGTAAATACTGTACAATCATTCCTGTTAGCAGGCTTAAATTCAAGCGATCGATCTACAAAAGAGGAAAGTTTATTATAACAAAGTTAATTTGAAAATGTCTTATCTTTTGACCTTTAAACTTTCCGGCTTTCTACAGGTGACTCTCTTCATGCTTGGAAACCTTTTTCAGAATTTGCCATTCAATACATTTTGTGCCGTTGTTGTTATAATCCTTGTACAACATCCGATCCAAGATTAATATATTCATCTCGGTTGTTGCTACCTAAACGTTTCAGTTATTGTACATCGGCCTGCTTCAGGACTAATATACTGATTTTCGTCGTTTGTGTAGCTTCTCAGGATTTTGGACCGAAACCAAACCCTTTATTCAAACCCTTTGGTCATTGGCACTTATTCAGTTTCAGGAGAGATTTCCTATTAGTTAATAGTCACCAGTCACTCTCGCTGATCCATTTCATACACTAAACCAAAGAATATGAGTTTTCTGCACAACCATAGTTCGGGATTGAACTCAGAAATGTAATAAAAAGTAAAACTAAAAGTTTTGGAATCATTCCAAAAATATAAATGCATTGCATTTTGAGATTGATGTTTGGTCAAATAGTATTTTTATTCATTTCTTTCCAACCAAGGCAATAAAGCCACTAAGACGCAAAAAGCTACTGAAGAGGTAAATGAAAATATAAGTAAGAAGATTGGACCATGATATAACAAGTTTCAGGAAAACAGAAAACGGTGAATGAGATTTCATTTACATTTTTGAAATTTTTTGAACATTGAAGATTGCAGGCGACAGGGAATCCAGAAATCTGAAGAGAGTTCCACAGGTGAGAAGTGTGAGAGAAGAAACTATTAGAATAGAACTTACGGTTGCATCTAGTTATTTCAACAGTGAAACAATGAGTCCTAGAAGTACGCCTAAATTCATGCGAATCTAGCGACCAAAGATTAGAGAACATTTGAATAAATACTATGAAAATAATATAGAAAAGACAGAGGGAAGCAACCTGACCGCGGTGGGAAACTTAAGGAAGTCGAGATGCCAAGTCAGGACCGATAATATTGCAGACACTTCTTCGGATTTTGTCAAGATATACCTGGTGTAACAGCAAAATTGTTCCAATCGTGTAACAGCATAAATGTCCATCCCACATTTTTAATATCTAAAAAATAAATTGAATTTAGTTTCTTTCTCCAGGTTTTTTAAGACATTTAGCCATCTTGACGCCATTTATTTATTACTTCGCGTTAAATAACTCAAAGAATGTTACTAACAACAAAGATAAGGGTGTTAATTCCAATATAAATAATGTTAGTAAATCACGCATTTTTTTTATTTTTTTTATAGACGTTGCCACATGCACTTGGCGGGATGTCGCGGTAGAAATGTAGAAAAAGGTAGGTAAATAATGATGCTAGCTCAACTTGTAAGATGTTTAAAGTAACCAAAACTAAAGATAAAATCTTATATTTAATACCATCCATTCCATGAACTGAAATCAGATAAAGTGAGCCTGGATGTATGAACTATCTCGTTCACCAGTCCAGAGACGAGTCGGATCAAATCTGACAGTCGCTGCTTCCGACTTAACGGCGTTCAAGTCAAAACCACAGAGATTTATAGACAGAGATACGTTTCATAAACTGTAGATGGGTTAGCGGCCAGAATGTGACAACAGAACAACGCGACGAAGAGGAAGTGCTTTAGGATCGGGCGAGCTTAGATAAACTAATCGTATTAGCGTTTCCAGGGTTTTGTATTTCCGGGGAACTAAAACGTCTCAAGAGACTGACGTTTCTTTCGGAGGTCTAATTCAGTTCGTGGTGTTTGATTTGACTTGACTTTGACGACGTCATAGCCATCTACTCTGTCAGTGGCTTATGCGACCAAATAAGCCTGCGTGATATCATTTGTCTAGCAGGGCAAAAGGTGGTAATCACTCACGGAATGAAAGTGAACATCTCAAGACAGACAATCCAATATTGTGCCACTTGGTAGGTTGGCCTTCGGGGAATGTAGATTTTACATATATACAAATCAACGATGCGAATAGAATGAGAAATACTTGGAGAAGACAAAGCATTTGTTAATTGAATGACAAGGTGTAAAAATTATGTAACGTATTTCTTCGTCTAAAAAAGAACTTCCTCGGTCTAAAGTAATGTTCTTACTGATGGAATATTATATATATATATATATATATATATATATATATATATATATATATATATATATATATATATATATATATATATGCGTTATATTACTGATGATTATATATATATATATATATATATATATATATATATTATATATATATATATATATATATATATATATATATATATACATATATATTAGGCTGGTGCAAAATAATGACGTAAGAATGTCGTT